TTTCAATTCAGTCACAGTATGAGGAAAATGGACTTTGACAGTTAGTAAAAAACAAATGCCAGTGAATAACAAAATTAAACATCAAATAAACCTACCAGCCAATAGCCATTGCCTTGGTTCACTTTCTCCATGGCGATACTTATTAAATAAAAGATCTGGAAGATTATCATGCTTATCTATAATCTGGCCAAAAAACGACTTGAACTTTGACCAGATAATCCTCCCATTGCCTGAAATGGTTGAAGCGACACTCCAATAGAAATGGTTTTCACAGGGACATATCCATGCTTTATAGCATCACAGCCACTTAGTTTAGAAATCTCTGTTAGAACTTTTCCAATTTCTATGATAAAGAGAATGACATGAATTATAAAATTTATTTTTCACAATACATATGTTCCTCTTAAGAAAATATGCCCACCTATTCATGGAATGTTATGATTTATTATCATCCTCATGGTTAATCACTATAAGAACCACTTTCTCATTATTACTTATTTCAATGAGGCCAACCAAAACCCTGAAATGTGGTCTAACAACTTAGTAGCTACTGATATCCTTCAGATCTTTTACCAATTACAGTTTACCTGTTTTAAGCACTCTCAATCTAAGATGTTTAAATGACTATATAAATAAGCAGCATAAAAAACACAAGGTCCTACAAATTTCTTACTTTAGGCATATTCTAAAACAATCAAATAGCTAACGTTTTTGTCTACGATGCACCAGATAGACAAAAAAAGAGAAACACAGAGTTGCAAACACTGTTGGATAAACTCGATAACTACTAATCGGAGGTATAGGATGCGTGCTATTTAAACTATGCTGCGTGCAATGACTAGCTAGATTAATTGATTTGATAAGCCTAACTTAAACACGTGATCTTAACTCAACATCACGTTTCAAACCCAACATCCCGGCCCCTTAAAGGCGTAACTGGGGGCTAAGCCCTTTACCACAAATGTTAACAAAGGGGAGTTTGAAATGCGATTGTTGATTGACAACAATATATATAAAATTATGCTAGAATAAATGTATTGATAATGTTCATAGGTTCAAGATGATTCAGTCTCAATAAGTTGACTTGTACTTGTCGATCTACTGCGGTTTTGCAGCTTCTAGTAGAACGATCTGATCCACTGGGGCGCACGAGTTCACTGGACTTTGTCTTGAACTTGACAGAGCGAACGAGACCATCTCGTCGGTTGGTGTACACTTCGAGGACACGCGCAAGTGGCCATGTATTGCGGGGCATGTTGTCTAGTACCAACACGACATCGTTGACAGCGATGTTTCTTTGCTTCACATTCCATTTGTGGCGTTCCTCAACGGCGGGCAGGTACTCGCGAATCCAGGTACTCGCGAATCCAGGTACTGTACTTGACGCCATCGACGTGTACCGTAACTATCGTGTTTGGTGAACATGCCGGGTGGTACCAAAGGTCCGGCATATAGTAGCAGAAGATTATTTGGTGTTAAGGGTTCTGGATCCCTTGGGTCATCAGATACCTTAGTGAGGGGTCGGCTGTTGACAATTGCCTCGACCTCGCACATCAGGGTGCTCAGGCTTTCTTCATCCATCTTTTGCTCATGAACTAAGGCTTTCAGGACTTTACGCACTGTATGGATAGAACACTCCCATACTCCGCTGGGATGGGAGCTGGCCGATGGATTGAACGTCCACTTGATCCCGCGTTGGGTAATGAAATCGTGGATCTGTGTATGGTTCCAATTCTTTACTGCTTCCCTCAGCTCTCACTCTCCTTTCACGAAGTTGCCGCCATTGTCTGATCCTATCTTTCTCAGTTGACGTCGCCTTGCGATAAAGCGACGTAGTGCGTTGATAAATGAAACTGTATCCAACGAGCTTGCGACTTCAACATGTTTAGCCCATATGGTCAAGCACGTAAACAACACACCATAGTGTTTCACTGCAGATCTTTCGCATCGTATTTCGTAGGGACCAAAGAGATCTACACTGGTGTATGTAAATGGTGGGTAGGATTGGTCGTTGGATCTAGGCGGTAGATAGAGCTTCCTTTGCGGACTTGTTTACATCTCAGTGAGTAACTCCTTGACTTGAGAGTTGAGATTTCACTCTCTAAGGTTTGGGCTTAAACACATTTGATAATTTCGAACTCTGCTTGGTTGAGCTCGCTGACTTCTACATTCACTGAGAATTCAGTGAATTGAACTTTGCGTTTCTTGACGTTATCTTGTAGTTGCTGCCTGTAAAGCAGTATCGACGCTACTATTCTCCTTAGGCGTTCCCATGAGGAGCACTTATCAATCACTTTGAATCACTTCGAATCACTCCGAACTCCTCGGGCTTTAGGCAGCGATTGATTGTAAACTCTTCGAGGTTATAGAGATTCTGTACCCAGTCCTGCCAAATGCGTTCGTCGTCTTCTGATAAAGGATCGTCCCACGTCAGTTTCTTTTGACACAACTCTTAAAGACTTTGCAGTAAGGATGGCTGGACTGACAAATCCCAACGGATCGTACACAGAGCTGACTAAAGAGAGCAGGCCTCGAGAGCACTTCCGGGTTATCACTTCCCATTAGAAGTCCTACCTCAAGATTCTCTTTAAGTGGTTCCAGCGAGATATGTCTTCTTCTGTCGCCATGTCTGCCGTAGATACTGGGAGATACTTGACAGAAAATACGCTTGGGAGGAATCAAACATTTTCTTCTTTCAAATCGCTTATTTCTAGGCTGGTGAGTTTAGACTTCAATAGGCCTTTTGCAATAGATTGACACATTTTTTCCTTTATAAGATACTTTCGATTTCAAGATACGAAGCAATTTAAAGTTTGTTTGCCATCCAGCAGAGGCTTCCCCAAGGGACCTTTAGCTGAATTCTTCGATTGCAAACACGTGGCTAAAAATCATGACGTCATTGGCTTCGGCCATTTTGGTGGTTGAAATATGGCGTCTAGTGTAAGCTCACGAGGCAATCCTATAAAGTTTTCGGAATATTACGATTCTATTGTTGGACATGTCAAGGATAGATACAGGGAAAAAGTGCAAAACATTGGATTTGATCCGTATTCTTTAAAAAATGGTGATTTCAGCGAAGATTGTGCAAAAATTCCTAGCATCGTATACCCAGATATCGTGAACTACTTGGTTCTCCAAACATCTTGGGCTTTAATTTCTTCGTATCTGGCTGGGTCGGCACTCTCTTGATGAAAGAGGAACATCCAAGCAAAACACTTGTTTTTGCAAGGGTGCGTCATGAATATCTTGTACAGTATTTATGCACCTATCAATGTTAAGCACCCAGGGGGGAGGCCAGGCTAGAGGGTGGGATTAGCTCAACACTTATTGCCCCCCATAGGGGCATTTASCACATAATTCTGTCGCCAGGGTGGGAAATGTGGCCACATTTTGAGACCGTATGACCCCTAAATTTGTCCCAAGGTAGGGATTTTTAGATCGATGTTTAGACGGTGCCTACTAATTGAAAATCAAATATTTTTTAAATGGCTATGTGTATGGCGCGTTTTTCTTGTCAAAATTCAAGTTCGACATTCGTTATTCAAGTTCGACATTCGTTATTCAAGTTCGACATTCGTTATTCAAGTTCGACATTCGTTTTTGAAGTTCGACATTCGTTATTCAAGTTCGACATTCAAGTTCGACATTCGTTTTTCAAGTTCGACATTCGTTTTTCAAGTTCGACATTCGTTATTCAAGTTCGACATTCAAGTTCGACATTCGTTTTTCAAGTTCGACATTCGTTATTCAAGTTCGACATTCGTTTTTCAAGTTCGACATTTTTAGAGATTGGGACCTAGTGAAAGGGCTCAATTGCGAGGGACTGGACACCACAGAGACGACTTTACATGTGCTGCAGAAAGTGAATAGTGAAAATGTCTCTAGAAAGATGTCGAAGCCTTCTGAAAGAAGTTGAGGCGGAACTTTCCAAATCTTTCCCAGGTAATACAGAGACAACAGCAGCTGGAGCTCCTTCAACAGAGAATTCTACAAGTACTGTCCCTTCTTCTAGCAGTGGATCGAACATTGCGCCATCATTGACCGAATCAACAGGTCTACATCAAGAACACAGAAGATTGTTTGGTTTTCGCCCTCAAGGGAACAGTCGACACCGTCCATACAACAACAACAGAAATGGGTTTTCTAACAACAAAACGTCCAAGCCAAAAAAAAGAGCAACATTTACTAGGAACTTTATGTGCTTGTCGCACATGGAGGATACCGTCCCACCATCCCCATCCCAACAATCGGCGCTTAAAAGAGCTGGTCTGGGGGAAAAGAAAATCACGTTAAACCTTGACGATGGGCCTTTTGAAGTAGATAAAACACTGAAAGAGGCATACCCGCAACTCTTTAAGTCAGGTGGTTACGTGCTTTTGAGGATTGTCGAGCGTGGGGTGAGAGTGCTATCTGTTATTAATGGCCCTTACAGCTGCGAACAACTAAAGGATGTAATTGGACAGGGAAAAATCTTTATAAGACCTCTACAGAGAGACCTGAGCATGAATCCACTACCAACTAATGATAATTATAAGGTAAGCATATTGYATTTGCTCATATTAAAATTTTTGAGTTAGATATTTATTTTGAACTAGCTAGGCTTCAAATAACCAGTGAGATTATAAAGAAAACGTGAATTTGTTCATTTCGTCCTGACCATCTCAGAGCTTTGCAGAGAAGCTGCATGCCTAAAAACCAAATAAACAAACAAACATCCAAACAATAACTGAAAAGGAAARATATAGAGAAAAATCTTGAAAAAGCAGAGGTAGTTTTATAAAATTTACATATGAGACAAATATTGTCATTTCCATGTACAGTGCTATGTTTTCAACAGTTATGATGCCTCACACAGAGATGCCTATTTTTTAAGGTTGAAGATTTGCAGGRAAAATGCTTAAATTGTCAACAAATGTTCTTCCTGGCAGAGTTGTCAGAACACATAGAGCAGTGTTGGTAAGTTTCCAAKTTGTAAAAATATGTGCTGTGTGGCTGAATAGAGAATGCATGGCTTACATGTAACTTATATATTAGCTTCAACTTGATAAGGGGCATCCAAGGGGGGAAAGGGGGAGGGGTGGTTCAAATCACAAAGGTAGTAATGGTCATATTTTGCAAAATTTATAGTAATGAAACCAGTKACACAGCAACAAACCCTGCTTCTACAGAAGCAAGTAATTCTACTCCAACAGCTACAAAAGCAAGTRCCACAGTAACAAACACTACTATAGCTACTACTACAACAGCTGTTAACTCTGCTACTATAGAAGACAAAAACCACAAGGCAGAACTAGGTAAGGCTGACAAACACATTATTGCTTTATCAACATTTCCTAATACTTTTGGGTATCATTAACTTAGTGTTATWTTTATGATTTATTTAAAGATGACTATTTTGTCCAAAAATATGGCCAAGGAGTTGTGTCTGATGTAAAGTGTCCAAAGTGTGGGTGTGAAGTAGAAATTCMCTCGGCAGGCACTTATACAAGTGAATCAGGGTCTCTGCGAATCTATGCTGATGAGGAAGAGTTTGAATGTACYAGCTCCCAGTGTCTGTACAGTGAAAAAAGAAACAAAACTTTGGGTAAGTTCAACAATCTAATTCAATCTGTACAAAAAAAGTCAAGCCATCATGCATTCCAGTATTTTTGACCATGCGTCCCCCTTTTAGTTACCTCGATCACCTCTCATTTTTAAAAATATGTTGCACTTAGATGAGCGATTCTAATGATGGCCATTTCATCATTGTTAATTCTACAATGCACATGCAGTCAAAAAAAGGKTTTTGCATAATAATTGTAATTATTTTAAATTTAAACCATTATAAAATTAATTAGCTTCTACAAAACGTGCTATTTTTATCAAACTACCACAATATAATACTAAACATGAATATGTAGATGATATGACTGGTAAAAATGTCCATTGATCATTTAATGGCAATGTTTTGATTTGTACTTCAAGAGGTGCCTGCATAGATCTTAAGATATCAATAACTTTTAAAGATCTTGTTTATGATTACTGTGGAAGAAATTACTCACTGAAAAAATGAAAATCACTACAAAGTTTCACATTTAAGTTAGCTAGTGTAACAATGGGATGTGTGATCCACCTTGTTTAATTTCACTAATAACTGATTCAATGACATTTTAATATTGTAAATATTTTGTACTTTTAATTTTCATTCCATATTTACCATTCATATTTACATATATTTTGCATATCTTGTCACTTCATTCACCCAGTGTCTAATAATGATTATTAGTTACCATTATTTTTTACTTGATCAATTAAGATAAAATGCAGATTGCCTCGGGATTCTGGTTTGGAGGGACATATCCCTGTAAATGCTAATACAGGATATGTGCTGCTCAATAGGTATGTTTTTTAGGCTCAAAATAATCYTAATTCTCTGCTTTACAGAAAGTGTATCAACACCCTTAGAAGATGATGACGAGGCTTCAGGAGCTCCARGAGTAGACCCTGRCATTTCTGATGCTGTTAACCAAACATTGAATYATGCCCACAACCATRAAATCACCAATGGGGTGGAAGTGCTTAGATACTTCCAGAGCATAATGGTCACTGGAAGACCATTAAATGTAGTGAACCTGGCCCAAGCAACAGAAGGGCCCACCAATTACATTCTAGTGGACAGATACAATCTTGTGCAAACTGCCTTTGAGGAAATCAAAGAAATGGGGAACTTAAGGCAGACATTGGAAGTGCAGTTTTATGGAGAGGTTATTAATTGAAATTGTTTCTAAAATAAATTAATCGACATAATTTTGTGTCAAGAAACACTCAAAAACTCTAGCATTGAACTAATTGCATTATTAATAAATCCATTCATTTTTTTCTAGGAAGCTGAAGACATTGGAGGACCAAGAAGAGAGTTTTTTCGATTAATAGTTCRTGATATTTTTAACATCTACTTTGAGAATGGCTTGAAGCCCCATATGGCAAGTGATTACCAGTTGATTGGTGTCATCTTTGGTAAGTCTTTCAGAACACATGGGGTATGTTCCACCTTATTGTTGATGCTATTAAATTGTTCAAGTTAACCRTCCAAACCAATGACATTATGTTTTGTCTCTTTGAGGCTGGAGCCACAAAAACCCCACCCCTCAGCAAAATAATTAGTCTGTCAATCAGTGTAAATAAGAAAAAWTTATCAGTGTATTAGAATCACAAACATGACAATGTGTTCTCATGATTGGTGCAAGCATGTTGCATAATGCAAGGCACTACAACTTTTGTCTGTGGTGGTCGTGTCATAGCAATGCAAGTGACAGTACTGTTGTCTGACACTTCAAAAATGAAAAAAAAAATTGCATTATCATTTATCTTTCAATTGTCAGGTTTGAGCTTGGTTCAAGGTGGCAAAGTCCCCAAGTTCAAGGAAGATATATTTGAGTCAGTTTTCAACTTAAGTGTGGATGACCCATGCCTAAATCTATTACGCTTAGGGTTAAAAAAAACTGGCATATTCCAGGTAAATGTGCTTAAACTTTTTTGAGGCCAGTTTTAATGTCAATTTTCCCCAAACACACAAACACATTTAATGGTCAAGCCTCCTTTTTAAAGTTGTCCAGTTTTCCAGTCCTACCTCTTTTTTAAAGTGTTTTTAATATTTTGTACAGYTTGCTATAAATATTGATGYATTTAAAGACTTGTYCAGAGAGGGACCCAAAGCTACTATGACCATAAGGATTCTGAATGGTTTTTTAAAACCCGTCTTCAGTGAAGCAGGTTGCAATGCAAGGAAAAGCGAATGCTTGGTTTACAGGGCTTTCCAGAAGTACCTCAGGGAAGTTGCAAGTAGGTGGTGTTCTGGTTATTTTTGGGTTGGAGCTAGAAATTAATTCATGTGGCTTTTTCAATTATACACCATAGCAAAGGGCATTTTGACTTGATGTCTCAGTATAAATCAAGCAATRTTCAAAAATAATTACTATTGTTTTCATTCTGCATTATGCCAACTAATGCTGAACAACTTGCATCATATTATAAATAATAATGCTATAGGTTTATTAGACTGAGAGCTTACACTTACACTAACACATACTAATTGCTAACTGTTATTT